AAAAGTTATTTCTTCCTCTTACAAAATGTAACGAAAAAATTTTAAAAAGCTCTTTGTGGAACTGTTCAAAATGACTCTTTTCAAAGCCTCCACATAGAAAGGTCTCTGGGCTTCATTTCTTTGATCCTTTTGTCGTTGTTTTGTTGATGGGAAATTGGGAAAGGAAATAACATCCATATCATGGATTTCCATGATACACATTTAACCAATATATGGCTTTTCCTAAAACAGAATGCCTTGATTCCTCATATCAATTGTAATGACTTTAAGTCTGTTTTGGCAAGGCAAACATCAGAGAGAGTAGCCCTTGAAACCTTGAAACTTTTTGGAATATTTTCTCCCAAGTCTTGTTGTGTCTTTTTCTAAAACCAGGGGTAGGGTGGCTGCAGCTTAAAAAACACAGACGAAAACCCTTCAACAGCTGGTGATGTGATACAGTACATGGCTTAGTTTTGTGTTTTTTTTATAATAATATAGCTTGTTCTTTTTTTGTAGTCATTGCTGTAGTAGTGTTTCAAAGTTCAATGATTGCTCTTGGAGACTTCAGTGCCTACAATAATACCAAGGTATTTTCTGTGATATATAAAAATAGATAATCCTAGTTTATTTTCCCTTATAGTCAATGTTCGTAGTACAAAGGGCATAGTGGCCTGGCTGAACTATTAAATGTTTAAAACAATTAATTCAAATTAAAAATAACAAAATGAAGGATGTAAATTGTCAGGATGTATACCCTTCAATTGGCTCTTTAAAAGTGTGGCCAATGGATTGAACTCAGCTTTGCCATAAACCAACTTCAGCTTGTGGCCAGAGTGAGACTTGATCACATCAAGATGAGACTACAACTAGAATAAGTCTGATCCGTTAGACTAATGACTAATGGCTGAATCAGTTATCTACAGTAGGAAGGTAAATATTATGTCTTAGACGCTTAATTCGTCTGGTAAACATGGATTGTATGTCAAAGTAAATACAGAAAATAAGACCATCAGATAAAACATCATTGGGACAATTTCAGCAACTTAATTTTGTCTTTGTGCATCTGAGTCACAAGATATGAAGGAAATGGCATTTCACAGAGTCAAACCTCAAATGTCCCTTCAGATCAGTAGCAGTGACAACATCATGTGAAGGAACATGTCTTCCATGGGTGAACAGCGCATCATTCATTCTGTTGGAGAGTCATGACCCTGAGACATGATCCTTCCTGTGTTCTGACATTTAGTAATTTATTAACTCCTCCCTTTGATGGTCACATCAAGAACTTTGGAGGAGATTTATGTAACTCTATAGCCTTTTCTTATACTGGTCTAGTTATCTCAACTCATGCTGGCACATAATATGTATTGTTTGGGTCTATGTTATTAGCATCCTGGAATGGGACCAGGTCGCAGGATTTATATGGTAATCTACATGGGTGCTGTTTTTTACACATGTCTTCTCTGCTTATTTGCTGTAAGTCAAACTTTATAATTAAGTTATCAGATTTTTATTGTTTGTCTTAAATTTATATTGAGTGAATTAAATTGTAATTTACGGTTTCATGTGATAGATTTGTTTTAATTTTCATAAATTATTTGCTCAGAATAACTGACTTCTTGTAACCATTCTCATTTGCTCTGTTTAAACTCGCTCTCTCTGAAAACTTGTCTGTTTTTAATTATACCTTACTCTTTTTTTTATCTTATTTCACTTTAATCGTAATAAGGTTTGTTCATTTGTAGGTTTAGTATATCTATTAGTTTTATTATGTTCTCCGCTCCTTTCAGTGGTTCCTCACCTGTACCGAAAGTTAACTAATTTTGTAAAATTATATGGGGGCCAAGTAGAAAACCGAATGGTTTACTTAATGACCCCCATGCTCTCACTTTAACATCTAAAATGTATATTGTAAACATACGAATTTTATCTTTAAATCTAAACTGTGAGGAAATAAAGTATGTTATATTAATTAAGGTTATGTTGTCCTCAACAGGTTAAGCGACAGAACTTTATGGAAATTATAGCCTTTGATTTGCAAAACTTTGGATTTCTTGCATACAGCTTCATCCAACGTGAGTCATGTTTCCCCATATCTGTCTATTTCAGATATGTGTGTGTATGAGCATGAGGGCCATATTTGAGAAATATTGGTTGAGTTCTTTTTTTTGTGCATTAACTTGCAAAAAGTCCAATATTCTCCCATACTGACTGAACAAACTAGTTCAATACAGCGTTTATTATAAGGGCTCTTTNTTTATGGACCAAGACAGAGTCAAGGTCCGTAAACAGACAAAAAGAAGAACTTGGCCAATATCCAGCTGTCTTGACCTCACACTTGGTCAATAACCCATACTTAATGCAGTTATGCTAACAGATATAAAATACATCTTTTGCTTTTATGTTCTTTCTAATAATTGAAAAATAATATTCCATTAGTATAGGTAATCATGCGGTTTTGAGTTCAGTTTGGAATTAATTTGCATGAGTGAGTTTTTCAAAAAGCTAAAATTGCATGAGCCGCTTCGGCAAGTGCAATTTAAGCTTTTTGAAAAACTCACTAGTGCTAATTAATTCCAAATTGAACTAGAAAAACTTTATGATTACTTATTAATGATATAAACATGAAAAAATTTGCATGGAGGAAGCCATTTCTTCTCAATTTCGAGAAAACTTTTTTCAAAGTTTCCGCACTAAATTTTCGTCATTATTTTATGTGATATCATTGGCTTAGAAAATTTCCTATTTTCTTTCAGCCAATCATAATCTAGAATTATGATGTGTAATTTGCACTGGTGTTACACTTTTTGCACTGATGTTACACTTTTTGCACCAGTGTTACACTTTTTGCACTGGTGTTACACTTGACCTGCACCACTCTCAGCCAATCAGAATCCAGTAATTTTTTCATGTATATTATTAACGAGTTAATTTGGCATTTCTTGTTTCAGTTTATCATGTGAGATTCAAGAAATATAACGGATTAAGAACCAGTGAGAGTGATGCTCTACCAAGGATTGTAATAGCCAATGTGAGTAAATTTTGCAGAAATGTTTGGCTTCATTGAGCCTTCTTGACAAGACAAAATATCCCAAAATATTCCAATCTTGATTTGTTCAGTTGATCAGTGAATTCTGATCAGGCTATCTGTAAAAATATAAAAATTATTGAAATAAAAAGTCTATAATTAAAAAAAATGTTATAGGCTTTTTAGAGTTCAAAGATGTAATGATGGGGAAAGGTTTCCCTTTTGCTATGGTAACAAATTTGCCAGTAGCAATCAATGTTAAAAAGTGAAGCCTTGGAGCCGACTGGGTCATAACTGCCAGAGCTTAGCCCAGTTTCTGTAGCATGAAGCGGTCAGGAGTGTTTCTGCTCCCTGCTCCCCTGGATGGGATGGTAGTCCATTGCTGGTACCCATTTGTACTCCTGGGTGGAGAGAGGCACTGTGAGAGTTAAGTGTCTTGCACAAGAACACAACACAGTGTCCCTGGTCAGGGCTCAAGCCCGGACCGCTCGATCCAGAAACAACCGCTCTAACCATGACGCCACCACAATGTTAAGTAAGACACTTAATGTTGCTGTGGACGCGATACTTGATTCTGGATTTAAAAATTGAGTTTCAGCGTGGCCTGTGACTTACTTTCAGAGTTACATGCATGTACTCTGTCCCCAGCCAGAGGAAATGAGTGCCAGCAAATTATTGTTTCAGGCTTACCACAGGTCAGGAAATGGTCAGGGAAGAAAATTCTTCAAGGTCAGGGAAATGTCAGGGAATTTTATTTTGAAGCAGGGGAAATTGACATTTTGAAGAAAAGCCAAGGAAATTTGAAATAATGTAATACACTGATTTAATACCATGGAAGGCTGTGAAGAAACATTTGGGATCACTGTGATCTCAACAGCGTTTTTCCATAAGGAAGAAGAAAAATTGTTGAAAATTTAATGCTCATAATGAATGGGTGGAAAGGATGGCTATAAGGGGAGGCTAGAAGCTGCTACTATATCTGACATTTGTATTTATTTGGTCAGTGAAATGTTATTGTTATCAGGGAAAAGTATGGTAATTTTGAAAAGTGATGTCTGTGTCAACCATGTGTTTGGGTATAGACTAGCTACACATAAGTAGCTTGCATCAAACTAATTGAAGGGGTTGGTCAAGAATCATGCTAAGTGCAAAATTTTTGTGGTTTTCAATTTAATAGAAAAACATTATTGCCTTGAAAATTTCCAGACTTTTTGAGACACATTTGAAAAAAAAAAATCAGTTTTCCTAGCAGTATCTCTTGGTGAACTTTTTTTGCACAAGAAAAAAAGAAATCTTTTGTTTCCCCACCTGGGGGAAAGGAACTAAACTAAGCAGGTTGTCAATTTTTGGGGTAAAAATAGTTGATTTGCGTTTCATAACCAGGTGTTATTGTTTTACAGGCAATGACCCTTTTGATTCTTAATATTGTTTTTACGTACCTCTCATACAAACTGTACATGGAATTTGGATGGAAAATCTATAAAAGAGTGCGTTTTAACATCAGGCTGAGAGGTAGGAGGCAGTTATAAATAAGCTCTTTGCCTATGATTTTTTCTAAGTTATGAGGCACCATTATGTCAGCATAACATTTCAAATCTCCAACGTATAGTCAAGCCTTTGTCAAGCAGTTTCCCCATTAAACAGGCCAATTTTAAAGTTAGGTTGGAACTCTTCTTTGAGACAAACAAAGAATGGTCTGTAATAAGGGACTGTCCTTATTAATTAGGTTTACATAATGCATTGTTCCACTGTACTGTCAACTNGTAGTTGTGCTGTAATACAACTGCATTGTAAACGTTTGGCAGCGAAAACTTTCACAATATCTGACAGTTGAGCTACCAGGTAAAAAAAAATTTAATGTTTATTCCTATCTGTAGATTAATGCATGGCGGTAAGTTAAAATTTGTTGGTATTTTTTTAACATGAGATTTTGTTAATATCTTCTTAGGAATTTATCAACTGTATGAACTTCTGTTTTGCCTTTTGAAAATGGAAATTCTTTACTGGGTGAGTAGTCTGAAAAGTTAGTTTATTATTTTCGGTTTTGTACATGTAATTATAGATCTTAGTTACGTAAAGTGATTCAAGCAGAGTAATTGTCACTACATTGTACTTAACAGCTTTTCTTTTTCATTCTTTCTTCAAACAGGGAATGTTTGCCATCGTTCACAGTTTTGTTTTGTTGCGGGACTCACATAACATTCTCTATTTCATGAGCCTGTCATTTATACCTTTAACATTAATGTATGCTGGTCTGGGCTACTATGCGGTGAGCATAACATGATGTCAACAATGGAAATTTAAAATGTGAAAAAAAAAATGATGTCAATTTTGTCGTAGTACTATAGATAGTTCTTTACCATCCCATAAATTATCAATATTTTTACATTTTGTTGAATTGAGTGGAATGCATAGTAAAAACTGTTTGCTTTCATCATTAAGATATCACGTAGACTACCTACATTTAGAAGAACAGTTTGAAATCACTGCACCAAATTGAATGATTTTGCCTTAATTCCTGGTCATCATTATATATCGGTTTTCAATTGCTGAGTTTCTTAACATCAAAGCCAAAGTAATATCACTCTGGCCAATCACAAGGATGCACACAATCCATTAAACCAATCAAATACAGGCAACTGATGCAAAGGAATGTGTGCGAGAAAGTCACAAAATTGTTTTGGTTTTACTTTTTATTGGATGACAAAGTAGCAAGAGTCTTTTTTTAAGCCAACTGTATTTTGAAGTTATGGCAAACGAAGCAAATATAAATAATATCACTTTCGACACTCAAGTGAAAACTGCTCTAATACAAAGAATGATACACCGCAATCATTTGAAACATAATTGTTCAATACTAAGTAATGTTAAACAAAGTCTGTGAAAAAAAAATGTTAAAAATGACGTTGCTGTAATTCATCTAAAAGTGCATTAATATGGGAAATGTGTACAATGAATTGAAAGTTAGACATTAATGATCAAATAATGAAACTTGTAATTGTGAGAATGTCCAATTTCGATATATTGAATAAAATTCTAACTTGCATTGGCTTCAAGGCTTAATAGGTGATTGATTTGCGTGTTGAACTTCAACTTGTCTTGCACGCTCACGGAGCTAGCCATATAATAAACTAAAATGTTGGCCTATTGTAACATGGTTTAAAACTTGTATTGTTTTTTATCAGGCACGGCGTGAGAACAGAGTGCTCATGATATTTTTCCTTACCTGGACCCTTGCTGGGATTGGTTACTTCTTGTACAAACTTTATGGGTCAGTATCTGTTCTTTTTAACTGTGAGTAATTTAAAATACGACACCTCTTAATTTACAATGCCAGTGCCTTGGAGTTTCTTGTGTTTAAAATGTTTACTTTTAACAAAGTTGTTTCAGCTGGTGCTTAACTTTATCAATTTGATCATGGATATTTTGTTGCGTGTGGCAGGTTTATTACTCGTACATGCAATGGCTGTGCTGAGTTTGAAGTCACTGGAAAAGATATCCCTTCTGAAGCTTTCATGCATTTTGTTTATTTAGGTAAGTTTGACATCAAAGTAACACTGTCAAAGCTCTGTTTATGTAAAAATTTTAACTTGTTAACTGACAATTAATAAATTTATACTATATTTGTTAACTTTTTTGATTTTGTTTTTTCAACTCCCCTATTTTTGTATTGCCTTGGTTTGTTTCTCATACAGGATCCATGAACCTTGTGGTTGCCATAATAATATTTGGCATTGCAGTAAAGGTATACCGTAATTTTGGTGGTGGATTAGCGCAGCATTGTAAGTACCAAAATTTTATTACATTTTCAAAATGAATGAAGTCTCAGGCATTGAAGTCAAATGAAATTCTCCCCTTCTGCCGTTTCCCTTCCATCTTCTTCCTGCCACATCTTCCTACCTCTCTCCCTCTCTCCCTCTCTCCCTCCCTCCCTCCCTCCCTCCCTTCCTTCCTTCCTTCCTTCATTTCACCCTTTATCTTCTTTCGTTCGTTCGTTTCTTCCTTCCTTCTTCCCTCTCTTCCTCATTGCCTTCCTCTAAATTTCCTTTCACTGGGCTTGGTTTGAAATAGTGCCAGGCTGCTTGTGCTCCATCGTCTTTTCGTCTCTCGGTAGTTCGACAAAAGAAGAAACCTCAAGAAAAGTCTGCAGCTAGATTAAGCCTAGGACGAGGGAGTCATTGTTACACTGAAGAGAGTGTCGTTTCCGTGACGTCATACGACAGCGCATATGACGAGTTTGGGGAGAGCGTTAGGTTGGACCGAGGAATGTTACATCCTGTTCACACAGATCTGCCATTACTGACGGAAAACGGACACCTTCGAGTGGACAAACGAAGCTGTAGTTTGCCGAATTTGCTGTCAGACTCCTCGGCAAGGCCTGCTTGTTATCCGGGCCGGCCATTGGATGGAGATGTTTCTTTATTGAGCGGTTGGCTGCAAGCGGACGAAGGGAAGCGAGACTCCGCAAACCTAGAAATCATCGCAGAAGAGGCAACAGTCGAAAATCCAGAAACATGTGAATCTGGAGCAAAACTAGCTCCCGATGAAACGCCTCTTCAGGCCGATGAGACTACGCAAGGCTCCATATTCAATGCATTTACAAACGGTGTTCACACATCAAACAATAGCAATCTCTCTTCTTCTAACTTCCACGTACATGGTTGTGTGAATAACGCAACTGAACTGCTCGTATGTAGAGACACGCATCTGGTGCCTAAACATGGACAGAATGGCCATCTTCCCGGGAAAGCTCGCATGAAGCATGCCGGCACAAGCTTTGAAAATAGTTGNATATTCTTGTGTCCTTGAAACCAACATTGTAAAACTCGCCAGGCCGCCATGAAACCTCGGGGAGACTCTCATATAAAAAAGATGGGATCCTCGTCGTGCCTTTAAGGGGTTACAAAAGCGGATTTGGTACCTCATGGGGTATTCCGCCTTCAAAGATCCCACAGCAGGTGCTTTCGCGGTACATTTTAGGGTATTGAGCCGAAAAAAGTCAGTGTCAGTAATGTGTTGTTTTAGATTTGGAACCCCTTAGTGGTAAAAAAAAAAATTCACGCCAAGCCCACAAAATAGGATCTTGGTACCTATTAAGGGTTCTCATCAAAATTTCCGGTGAGCGCCCCTGTCCATTTTGTGTAAGAGTCTCCCACGGGCATGAGACATTTGTAACCGAATTGAAAATGAACGTTGTGTTTAGGTTTGCAATTTTAGTTTTAAGATGTCTGCTAAATTCGTTTACTTTACACTAATTCAATACCCTCGACGTCGTCAGAGACATCGTTTCTGTTCTCGGATTCGTCTGGTGAACCACGTGANAGGAAACTGGACAAGGGATTGGTTCAACGTTTTGGCGGCAAAAGTCCAACGAACCAATCAGAACTCGAAGCAAAAATATGCAAAAGGTGTTAAGCGCGGGAAAATATGCAAGTGGTATGGAGCGCCGAAAAACATGTAACCCGTGCAGGTGGAAAGCGCGGGAATCATGTAAGCGATGCAAAGCGCGCGAAAACAAGTAGTAACAGGACGCTTAAACGTGGGGCGGTTAAACGAGCGGGTCCGAGCAAAAAGGTGTGATGCAGTAGACTGGGGTTCACTAATATGAGCAGATTCCGTTCACTTCCAGTCTGGACCTTTTTCCACCCTGAGTGTAGGGTTAAGCGAGATAAAACATGAAAATGGTGGAAAGCGCGGGAAGACATGATATCCTTGTAAAGCGCGGGGAAACACACAACCGACGTAAAGTGCGGGAAAGATAAGTTTAACTTGCATCTGACAGTTAATTTTGGACTTACGTCGAAGTCTGCGTCATTCTTCACAGAGTCATCATAATCCCTTGGCTCTACTTTCTGTTGAACATAAAACGGTTAATTTTCGATCATTTTAGCGGCACTGCTTTTGATAGCGACTGAATTACACTATTCATTCCACCCACCATTTTATTCAAGCACCCATAACAAACTCCTACGTCAGAATTACGTTTCAGCTGCTTGGCCCTTCTTTAAATTTTTCAAGCCTCGTTTGATATGAGACATATTTCAAGCGATAAATGTTGCAGCACGCTGAAGAATGTGTTAAATTTTTCACTCTGAAAGTTAAATAGGAAGTATTACACAGAAACGTCCACAAAAAGTACTTCTTAGTAGCTTTCAGTTAAAAGTCTAACGAATATCCCTTCTAAGGGCAGTACCAATGCTCCTATCTCCCCACCTCCACCCCCTGCTATGTAAGGCGGGATGCCTTTGGGTCCTTGACCCAGCTAGCCATGGAGCCAGTAACCGTTAAAATTGAAGTTGAACGGGGAGGCGCGCAAAGTGGTTCAAGGTAAAAGAGTTTTGATGCACAAGGTGATCTCGGACAGATACTTCAATCCAATACTACCATTAGTATTGGTCAAACTGCAGTTTGTAGTCAAATTTCGTTTAGGTAAATTGTTTTGTGGGTTTTTTTAACTGAGTATTCGTCAGGTTGAAAGAGTTGAGAGCATCAAATTGTGTCTTTTTGTCAGACACAAAATCGACAGACTCAATCATAAACCAATGATCGACATATCCGATCTACAACGACGATTTCACTGAGCTAAAACTGTCACTTCAATATTGTTTCACCAAACTCGTTCCCAGGTTCTCCCTTCTCTCCCTCCCCCCAAGTCCAAAGGGGACAGGGTTGTTGCTTTGCGAATGTGAGAAGCTGTCAACAAAACATTCAATTTGATTACTAGTCTTTTAAAATCTAAGATTTCACAGTGGGGCAGCTTTAGTTATAACTATTACAGGTTTTAATTAAAGGTGACGCACCTTTGGAGTCAAACGAATTGGTTTGTCATCCACGTCTAATGGCAAAGCTCCTTCGAGAGGCGCGGCTCCCTCCACCACACAACAAACATTTTCCTGGTTAATCACAGAATTGATTTCCTTGGATAATTCAACAGATTCTATTTCTGAATCAGAGGAAGAAGGCGATGATGATGAAGGAGCATCCTTTTCCCGAATCTCTGCAACAGAAGGATCGTATTTATCGGGCGCGTTCTCGTATATGAGATTTGTGGCCCCATCTACGGAGCCCTTATCGTCATGAACAAGCTCTCCGTCTCTCCTGGGACCCTTTGGGCTGTTCTCTTTAAAACGAAAACCAGTTCTATCGCTTTTCTGAAATTCTTCAAAAGAAGGGACATTTTCATCGGGTGGTTTCTCGTATATATGATTTGCGACCCCATTTACTGAGATCTTACGATCATAGTCGAGCTCGTCCCTTCTCTGTGATCCCTGCGGGGATCCTTCTCGCTGGCGTCCATTATCTTGTGTCTCGTGTGGTATAAAAGAGTTCCTAGATGTTGCTTCGTCTGCGCTCTCGTCTTCGGGTCCGTTTTCCATGGGTAGATTTTCATTATCTTTACAAGAAACACAATGAAAATTGTACTTAGCATCCCAGTTCATCGTTTTCTTAGATTGCTACTTGCTAATTTTCTGGGAGCTTTTTAACCTTAAATGAGTTACTTTAAAAAAATAATCTGAGGAAAAAAACAATCAGAATGCGTATAGGACTGAGGATTTTGCAGGATCTCTGCACAATGGTGTACTTAAATGTAATAAGAGTAACTTCTCCTTTTGTAGCTGTAAGTCCGACCGCCTAGATTGGAATGAACCCGAAGTATTCCCGACTATTATCAACCATGCAATCAGAAGACTACTAGCACACACGAACATTTCGATACGTCATATAACTTGTTAACCTTCCCCCCTAAAAAAACTGCGTTTTGTTTCTTCCTCTTTTGAGTGTACCGATATAAGTCAAATTTTCTGTTCCATCAAGACAAACCGATTCAAACGTCAAAAACAATACTAACCGTATGGTGGCAGATTGTGTTGCTTCTCCGGCTGCTCATGTGTAAGGGCTTTTGTTACCGGTAACTGCTTAGTAATGTTCTGTTCATCCGGCGGGATGTTAATTATGGCATCTTTGTTATCGTGACGGGACGGCAGTGTGTTGCTGTTTGTACTGTTAATGCTGTCCATCATTTCATAATCGTTTTGAGCCCTGTTTGATCGCTTCTTGTTCCCTGGAGCCGGCAAATCAAACCAGGATACGTTAGAAAATACTGAAGAGCTGTACTCGACCTAGCCTGCATAGCGCGTGCCTGGACTGCGCGCGTGTTCTTTCTCAACACCTCGCTCTCTTTTAAGGCTTGGGCCAACTATAGCCTGCGTAGCAGGCGTATAAAGGGGAGGGGGTGGGGAGGAGGAAGAGAATTCGGTGGAAAAAAACGGAGGAGTGGGAGGGGGGAGGGGAAAAGGGAATTCCCACCCGAATTCCCACCCCCTCCCCTTTATACGCCTGCTACGCAGGCTAGGCCAACTAAGGCTATGCTTGATTTAGCCAAGGGCAATTCAGCCGCTTATTTTTCATGTCGCGTTGCCCTCATTCTTACAGCTTTGGCATTCAATGTNCCCCCCTCACTCCACCCCCCTTCTCTATCTCTCTCCTCCACTCATGGAAGCTTCAGCTGAAAGGGCTCAGTATAGCCACGCCATGCGTATACATAGAAGAGTATTGTAGCCGCATGCATTCATTTTTAACAACGTTTCTCCCTCTCTGCCCCTGTTCAGTGTTTCACCCTGCTTCTACGCAAAGGTCCACAAACAACGCTATTAGGAATCCTACATGTGCTACTACTGGTGGAAAGCTAAACTCAAATACCTTTGCCTGGCAGATTAGTAGCGTGTTTAGCGTTCTGGATAGGAGAGGGTTTGGTTTTGGGAGTCGTTGAAGCAACACCCGAACTACCTTTCTCTCGACTTCGCTTTATGGCGTCCTGAATCTGACGAGGCAAAAACAGTTGGAATTCAATCCTATTTTCTATCCATGAGACACTTTTTGCTTGATTTCCAAAGGGCAATTTTACAGGCATTCATACGAAAGGTTGTTTCTTCCTCCTTAAATCATATTGAAGCGTAAGGTAACCACTACGTTGGCGAAAAAAAAAACATCAACCTTTATCTAATGTTTATAATTGCAAAGTTTACTTGACTTTTATAGAAAAACTCCTGGTAATACCTAGCAGAAGGTGACGGAGAGTATCGCTCTTGGTTTTTGCATAGGACTGTGACTCTCATTGGCGGTACACCACGTGATACACAAGTACCACGTGAACCGTTTAAGAAGTGGAACTGGCAGGACTCAGTTTGTCCTGCATTCGAAACATTTGTGTCCCCTTACCTGCTTGTTCAACAAGCAATGAAAGATGAATATCATCAGCCCTTGTAAAGAATTAGTAATGGCAAATAGGTACTTGAAGGCGACTGTCGATGAACTGAAGTTCAGAAGTCCAAACAGCCACGTGATTCCAAGCAAAGGAAGAATGACCGCGGAGGCCTTGACTCCAGCTTTTACTTTCTCGATTTGCGTCTTGTTCTGTACGTGTCTTGTTCCCATCATTTGGCGAATCACCAGAATGAATACTACGACATTTATCTGCGTGAAAGAAGAGTTTGTTGGTTTAAACGGTGATGTGAAAAAGTAAAGACCTACCGAGCGAGTGCACGTGGGGCCTTATTGTCAGCGTGTTTGCAGCCTATGCTTTTCCAATCTCGTCCCAGAGCCGCGCGTTTTCGGTCGACGAAATAAAAAACCACAACCAAAAATTTTGGTTCAGGTTTGATTGTGCGCGTGAGTGAAGTTCAATAACGGTTTTTGAACATGCGTAAAGAGAGTAACCGCTGTGAATTATGCTGGCTCAACTTCCGATTTCTTCACAAGTCTCGATTCCTTGAAGCTAATGAAAAGGATCGCATCCTCTGGGAACAAGATTGATGCTTTTCACAAACACAACTTAATGAAACGTTGTTCGCACTCCCTCTATCGGGACAGAATACTGAGTACTTTGAGTAATGTAGTAAACCGATGCCAAGAAAAAGCTTCTTGGATCTTGTACATGAGTAAGAGGCCTAGGTTTGTGACTAGACCAGCACATGCAGTGTCGTTAAAAGATAAACCACGTGAACGGTGCAGTAAACCAGGTCAAAGAAGTTTAGAGGTCGTTAAGTCCTTTATTTAAATGCAAGGAAAGTAGACTTAGAAAAGACTCCTTTTTTTATTAAGCCCGTCGAGCAAGAAGCAAAAACTAAATAATTAGTAACAAGCGCCTCATTGTTTTCTCTGTCTTTTATCTCTTGCTTCTAACTTGATGGGTAAAGGAAAAAGACTGCACAAGCTCGAAAATGTGTTGAGAGTAAGGCAAATACCACTGACCAAGATAATGAGTATTGCTGGCGCAATGAATGCCCAGACGAGTCCACTCGGGACATCAAGCCAACAACCTTCTGGCGAACCATACCCATCCGCTTGAGTAGCACTTAATGAAATGGCCACTATGATGACAGGGAAACCTAAAAAGCAACAACAGAAAGGACTTCTAGTTTCTACAGCGCGAATATTCTTTTCCCGACAACGGGCAAGTAAAACGCTTAGCTTTTTAAAATAGCCTGCAATGCTAACGCATTTTGATCAAGCGTGCGCCGAGCGCCATCTTGGATTCAAACTCGGATGAGGCTTGGGGAGAGACGAAAAGGCGTCCCGAATCTGCTTGATCGCGAGCTAATACCGCTAATTCGTGAACACACAGAAAACGCCTGCACTGGAGGCTATTTAAAATTAATAAGGGTAAATTGACCGCCGTTCACGGTTAGTTCTTCGTCGGAGTAAAAAAGTTAAACAAAAAGAGGGTTGTGGGTCGCTTGGCAATTAACTGACTTGAAAGACAAAGTTTTAGATGAAAAAGAGGGGAGGCTACAATCCGAGCTTAAAAAAAAAAAACAAATAAATTACAAAGTCAAGGAAACGGAGAAAAAAAACATCAATCATAGAAGAAAATTTCGATCTTCCTTACTTTCTTGCGCCAGTTTGGTCATTTATTTTTAAATTAAACACAGGGTTTCCTAAAGGGAAACAACGAACGGTAAACTGGCTTACCCCAACCAAAAAGGTAGAAGTATTTGACTTTGTCTTCGGCTCCGCCTCCAAACACTTTCACAAGTAAGAAGTAGAGCAACACGCCTTCACACAGCATCCAACAAAACAGGGCCAACAAGAAGTAATGCAGTAAAGCTGCTAGCACCGTGCAGCCCACCTGACAAGTACATGAAAAGAAAATATAGAGTAGTCGGTTATACCCTCAGTCTGCACTTTATCCCCGGTGTGTAGTCTGCAGTCTGCGTTTTACACTGACCAACACTCTAGGGTACCTGGTGGTACTCAGTTCCAGTCTCCTTAGCGTTAAGTGTCCCGGAGTATCAACACTCCTTCCCTCCCTCACC